GAGAGAGAGAGAGAGAGAGAGAGAGAGAGAGATTACGAACAGCTACAAAGTGGCGTTTCTTTTCAGCGTTGCGAAGAAATGGAGCTCTAAACCGCGCTCATTTCCGAACGTCAAACTGACACTCAAAAGTCACAAGAAATAACAACAAAACCCAACAGAGCAAAGAATGACATACCGGTATCAACATTTCATATACTATCATTATTATTATTACGACTAGACCATTAGTACCCATTAATTGTTTCACATAAGTACATCCAGTCTACGGTGTCAGCTGTGCCTTTTGTCTAATATACAAAAAAATATAATAAAATGCTTCTTTTGATCTATTCTCATTGTTAACTATATGGTACAATGGTGTGCAATGGTATAACGATTAATAACAAAAAGTCGTATAAAATGTATTTATAACTCTGGGGGTATTCACCTTAATTGCATCACTGTTTAGAAGGCAGTCACACACTCTTCTGGCCTAATGTGAAGGAAGATAGTATTATTAATATTCAATAAATATTCCAAAAACCCTGACAGAGCCAGATTTTGAAGATTACCACTTTACTTTATCCTTCCTCTTGTACTATCTAGGGCGAAGAATGGAGAAAGCTTTTGGTCTCTGGCAAGCAGGATGGCCTGGTTGGGTGGGGATGCTGTATGTTTTCAGGGTATCCTTCACACTCTCGATTCAGGTCTTCCCTGGTCTTCCTCTTGCCTTTTACCCTGATATTCGTTCGAAATGTGTTTTATTGGCAAGCTGGTGAGGTGTTATACGTGTCAGATGTGTGAGATATTACTTGTTAAGTTTCCCATTTCTTCTCCAAATAAAAATGCATTCTGCATAAACAGGTTAGCTCTGAAGAACAGTGACAACCATCATCCCCATCTTTAAATTCACTGTGGTATGTTGCATCCCTCGTGATCCTCCAATATATTTGCCATGTCTCAGATTCTCATCTTACGATAAGAGTGATGCTTGCACATTCAAATCTAGTTACTGTCCTGTTTAAATCTTCTTGTAGGTTTTCCTCTTCTTTTCCCTTTTACTTCCACCCTTCCCTCCAATACTATAGTACATGACGTATAAAACTTTTTTCTACCCAGCGAGTTCTCACTTTTTATGTGTCTGATATACATGTGGCTATGTGTCCTCTTGACAGTTCTTCTTTGTAAAAGGTTTACATGATGATACCATGATTGGATGCCATTGAGATCGACCTTTTCATGGAACCTACAGAGGAGGGAGGAGCAGCTATGGCATTGTACCGCCTGCAGTTATACATATTCTTCAACTAAGTAAGTAAGTATTCAATTTTGAATGATTGTACCTTTCCTGCATCCTGTTTATTCATTCTTTGTCCATATTCCACAGCGTGGCTACCTCGCAGTAGCAAGGATGTACTAATAGAGAAATCCTAATTTGGTTACGATATGGTAACTAATTCTTTCCATGCACAGGTTATTCAAATTGTGGGTTGCAATGATTATTTGAAAATAGTTCTTTATTTCTGTTGTTTTAATTACCCCTATTTGTTTACTTGTTCCAAACGTTTTAAGTTAGTTTAATTTTCAAACATGTGTACATTTACTTCAAAGATTACTTTAAAAAAATTATATTATTGGATTTAGCCGAGCCCAATTAAATATGTAAATTTACAGGCCCTATACCAGCATGGAAGTAATAAATGTACAATTACATGTATGTGACAGCTATTTCGCACGAAAGATGTGCTGGTTGTGTATGTAAATATTGTTCTTTCCAAAAAACAAAAATGCTGCTTTTAAAAACAAAAGGCATTCACGCATACGTGTTGGTTTTTTTTTTAGCTGAGTGAAACATCTTGTTGTCTAGGATCTGTGCTATATCTGACGGGAGGACATGAGAATAGAGAGCGATCTTACCTCTGTTGTTCACCAAACATCGGAATTTCTCAGATAGGAGCAGAGAGCAGCTCCGTTAAGTAAAGATATAATTATTTCCTAGTTGGGGTAATCGATACCAATTCTTCAGACTTCTTCTCTGCGTTCAACAGACTTATAGATTGCCATATTTCACCTATCCTTAATTAGGCTAAGCTTACGAGGCTGCTTTCCTCTTTGCCTCTATACTCTTGCTATAATATGTATGCCTCTGTCTCGTTCTTCTTAATTTCGAGTAGTGCTTTTTAAATATCCACTGTGTTCTTGAAAAATAATTGTTTGGTGGTGATTTATTGTTAGAAATGATCAACTATCAACGGTGCAGCACCTTCATATTGCTGTTTGATAATTATGAGTCTCTGTCTTTTCGGAACCGATAGCAGTCAACTATGACACCTGTCTTCACGCAGTTTGTAACAAACTCCTCAATGACTCTTATTGCTCACATCAAAGACGCTCATAATGAAGCGTGCACCGAAACATTAACACACAACCTCCACGGTGATTTAAAACCAAGCTAATTGAGGTGCGCTCATTACTATCGATGTATGCATATATTATTCTTAAAAAGGTTTAAAGTTCTATGAAAAGTCGAGTTCAGGAAACTTGTGTGTATTTCTTTTTTAAATTTAGGCCACACCTTGTTTTTAACATGTCTTAGAGACAACAGCATAACAAAGAGAAAGTTTAAATCTCAGGACAGACAATCATACGCATGCTAATGATACTTTTAAAAAGTTCTAGATATAAGACCAAAGTTCGATACTTCGATAAAAAATCCATACTAAGTGACGATAACTACAAATGTACTTTTACCTGAAACAAAAACACACAAAAAACAAACAAACACACAACAAACAACAACAACAACAACGACAACAACAAAAACCTTCTTGGGGACAAAAAGACTCGCTATTCAAATGCCAGAAATTGCTCGCCATTCCAACATTGAGTATTACACAAGCTGACTATTCCAATGTTGAGTATTACACAAGCTCGCTATTCCAATGTTGAGTATTACAAAAGCTAGCTATTCCAAAGTTGAGTATTACACAAGCTCGCTATTCCAAAGTTGAGTATTACACACGCTGACTATCCAAAAGTTGAGTATTACACAAGCTCGCTATTCCAAAGTTGAGTATTACACACGCTGACTATCCAAAAGTTGAGTATTACACAAGCTCGCTATTCCAAAGTTGAGTATTACA